GTTGGTTGGTGGGTTGGTTGGTGGGTTGGTTGGTGGGTTGGTTGGTGGGTTGGTTGGTGGGTTGGTTGGTGGGTTGGTTGGTGTGTTGGTTGGGGTGTCGGTTGGTGTGACTTGGTCCAGCAGCCCAGGGGAAGCTGCAGAGCCGAAGAAGGGACGAAGAAAAGGACACGTGGGAAGTGGATTCCGGAGGTGTCTGATTTGATGTGGGGCGTTGGCGCGCCGCCGGGCAAGGTCAAAAGATCTTATAATGAAATGCTGGAGGTTTTCGCGCACACACACACGCGCACCAACACACTTAGAAGGAAGGTTGGAAGAGCGCAAGCCGATGTTCATCTGTCGTGCGTTTGCCCTTTTTTGCATTACCAACCTAGTGCAGAGAAACAACCTCGAATCTGAAAACAAACCTCAAAAATGGCTGAGGGCAACGTGTAACCGTTTCTGCATCAACGACTACAATCATGTAGCTTCGTTGGACATGGTCCCTGATTGCGCGCCACGTCCCCTTGCAGCATTTACATTATCCCTTCGGAACAGGGTTTGGCACACTCAGGAAAGAAGTACATACGGTCTGATCGCTCCGAGCGAAGAAACCTACCGGTGTAAGTCGTCTCATGGCCAAGTAGCCCCAAGAAATACCAAAATCGACGAAAACGAGAGCTCACATCTGCGGGCCTGAATCATCCTGGAGCAGCCTGACGACCTCTACAATTGGAGCGTGGCTAAAACATTCGCAAGGCCGCAAGTACAGGAAGGTGATCAGCCGTCCTTTCCCATCCACGACCGTAGCTTCGTTGCACACGGTGGGTCATGGATGCCTATACTGTTACTAGGGCTCTGCGGGTGTTACCCTGGTCGCCGTGGCTCCTCCACTGTGTGTACGGTGTGCGCACGCCGCCCCTTTCCACACACAACCACTCATACACTTTTCCCGACCTGCTTTTTCTTCTGTTTCTGAGCTGTCTAAAAGACTGATTTTGTCAGTTTGTTTTTGGAGGTTCACAGTTTGTTGCCACATCTCGTCGTGATGATGCTCCCAATGCTCACTCCCAAAGATGCTCTACCTTTCGTTCACCTCATTCCCTCAAGTCTTTTAGCACTCTGCCACGCAAGGTGCACGTTTGCCATACCAAACATCATACCAAACGTTGCCACACAAAATGTCGCATCCAACCATATCATGGCGGTTCTCAACCACAACTGCCGTCCTTTAACCACATTTTCTTGGTCTTAACTGCAACGTGTGTTGGCTGTGCAACCCCTACAGTATGCAGGCCATTCTGGTTTGTAGGCAGGTTTGTGTTTGATGCTTCTCAATCCTTCCGGGCAGTGCAGGCTGTCCACACGTTGGTTTCGAGACATGTCTGTGCAGTAGTGGCAACACAGCATTAAGCTTAAGCAACCGAAAATCCACAATCTTTTTGGATACCTTTCCGTTCGTTCTCAGCGCCGCTGATGTGCATGGCTGACCAGCAGCGTAGGGTCCACAAAAATGGACCTCTCGGGAAGAACCGCTGTGTGACCTTCCGGCTTTAGATCGTCCCGGTATGAAGAGGGGACGGCAGTAAAGCTTTTGCCAACAAGGAAACTCCACACGGGTGAGTTTCGCTTGACAGCCGGTCGCCGCTTTGGAGTTCAAAGGTGCTGTCAGAGATGCTCAATATGCGCGGAGAACAGCTTGGCGCGCAGTCTGCTCAAAGGCAGTCTTGCTTAAAACAACCCCTCATACCCCAATATCAAGAAAGATTCAATCCAAATGAAACATTTTGTATCCATGCTACTTTGTGGTGCGCAACGGAGCTCAGGTATTGGCAGATGCACAAGTCGGACCGGGCTGCCAAGACAGAAATCAGATTGCCAGCAAAAGACTTCCATTGGACACAGTTTGTGAAGGTTTGCTTGAATCATGGCGGATTGCAGGACATGAGCAAAGCTGGCCACATGGGGAGCTGGGAACTGTTCCGAGTGGTGGACGCTGGTGCTGGAGTTTTTGCCTTCCACAACTCCAAACACAACCGCTTCGCCCGCATGAACAAGAAAACAATGGACAGCCGAATGCTTGATCGCTTTTGGTTGTCATGTGTTGTGTCAAGATGTGTCAAGTTCCAAGTGGCCAGGGTAGGGGGTCAGGGGTCTATATTGACGTCGAAGTAAAAGAAGACACGATGTGGAGAGGACACGAGTGGCAAGAAGGGTGCAACAAGTTTGCCTGGTGGTTGGAGCTGGGAGCGCTTCAAGATTGTGCAGGCCGAAAGCTTGACGGGGGCGCTTGGGTGGGTCGGCGTCGGCTGGTAGAGTGCCGTTCGAGGGCAGACCTGTTCAAATATGTTCAAACCGAGTCTTGAAGTAGCCTTTTCATGACAGTGTTTGCTTTACCTACCCAACTTAGTGCTGGATGATGCTGTCCTAGAAGAGTTGAAATTGAAGCAACGCGAGGGTTTTGAACAGAACACAACAACAATGCTTTGGATGCTTTTGGACAACCGTGCAAACAGTAAAAACCAAAGCTGTACTTATATAAAGTGTATATATATATATATTTCATTTTGTTGCATTGTTTTGCACTTTGTGTGCTTTCCCTTACATCCCGGATTGAATTATATAGACTGTTTTGTTTTATTTTGGTGCAGGGAGAAGGGACGGATGTCAGCCCAGGTTTCGGGTGCCTTCTCTTGCTTTCTTCAATCGCAGTGTTGTGTTGTTTTATATAGGAATGTGTGTTTTGTTGTTTTGCAGTCACACTTGTTTGCAATCTTCGAGACTGTTTGGTTTGGGGCATCTGACTCATGGTATGAACTGTATGAGCTGATATGAACTACTTCTTGGGTAAGCATGAACCACCTCAAGTCCATGCGTCGTGCCAGGCTGTGCCGGGATTCCGTCCCGGAACGATCATCGGGCTGTTTAACCACGACCGTGGCTTGGATCAGATCTGCTGATTTCCACAGACGATCCTTTTCAGTTCTTTCGAAGATCAAGTCTATGCTCCCCGAAAATGATAGCCTTTCCTGAATATCAATGTTTGGTTGGGCGAATGCTTGACTACTGCGCGATCTGAAGACCTTGATTGAAGGCTATGTGAAGATGACAAACTCGTGGACATTGAGCGGCGGCTCGAGCACAGCAGACAATCTCCCAGAAGATGGACAGTATCAGGCCCTTCACCCCTTCTGATCTGACAGCCTTTTGCTGACAGCAACTGTCAACTATGGTATGGTCGTCCTTTGCTCTGCTTTTCTTTTGCAATTGATGCTGTCAGCTGCAGGTGGTGGATGCTGGCATGGGCCAGATCGCCCTGTACAACCCTGCAATGAAGAGCTATATCCAGTTGTCGAACAAGTGGGTCTTCCCGCCTTGCTTAGAGCAGCCCACATGTCTTCTGCTTGGCAGTGTAGAGCGTCATGTCTTGGAAGCCTTGACGTTCGAGTTGCACGACATGAACTGCTCGGCTTGCCAGGAAATCGGACGAAGAACTGATCTCACTGACGAGGCAGTGCTGCAGACGAAGCCGTTAACACTTCACCAATCTTTCTCTGGAAAAAACGAACACCATTCACATGAATGACGCACCTTTAGAGTGAATATCAAAATGAGTTCCAGGTTTCCTAAACTACCCAGCGAAAAAGAGCTTAGCTTGTCTTGAAGCCGTATGCTGAAGGCCACAGGCCGCAGTGCTGTCCAAAGCCCTTTCGGTTTTCGGAAGTTGCCCTCCGTACGAATGGGAACAGAAGCATGTTTTCAGACGTCACGACAAGAACATATCTATGCAGCTCCACTCCACCCTTCACCCGTGAGGGCAGACCCCAAACCATCCATGCCCGTGCGTCGCGCGCCCGAACGATGCGCTGAACTGCGGTCGGACGAGGCCCGCTTTACCATCGTGGACCTTGGCAGTGGTAAGATCGGGTTGCACAACGCCAAACGGAATCGCTACTTGACCCGAGTTTGCTTAGTTCGTTCCTTTGTTCCCTTTCTGTGCCTCAAAACTCATGAAGTTGCGTATGATAACGTTCTCGAGCTGAAGGACCTCAAACAGGTATTTAAGCCCATCAAGTCATTTGATTTGAGGCTTCTTTGGCTTCTTCAAGAATGGAAAGGTCGGCCGCAGCCCGGAGAAGGACATGGGTGACATGAGTGCCATGATTGAGCGTGCGGTGCTAGGCGAGGTTTGCTCCAATGATTTGGATCATGTAGCAAGGCGGAGGTTTGTGGTGTCATTTGGTCATGACTTTAGCAGAGCCGGTCGGGTCTTTGTTATGTTTCCAGAGCACGTTCTTTTGGCATTGATGACTCGTGTCCATTTGCCCGTCCTACACATGTTCAGGACGGTGATGAGATGCCCAGCAACTGGGATGCAGAAAGGCTCACGGCACTCCAGGCAGGGACACGCAGCTTGCCAGGACATTGCATATCCAGTGTATTTTCAACTTGGGGGCTGTCCAGAGTTTAGACAATTCGAGGGCCCCCTGCAACCCGATGCTGTCAGATCATCAAGTGCAGCACTGGCAGCGATTCAAAGTGCAAGACTTGCCTGGCGATGAAAGACCGCAAGGCACGTAGAAACGTGCCCGGCCAAACAACCGTCCGAGACTAAACAGGCCAGAAGCTTTCCTGGTTAGAAAGCAGCTGTCAACCGAAAAGAAGGGGCAAAACCTTCCCGCTGCTACCCCAAAGAACACATGATAACACATGCTGTGACTGGTGGTGACCCATGGAAGCATTTCACTTGTTCAGCGCACAGACCCATAGGCTTGCCATAGACCCATGGAATACTGGCCACAGGCTAGGTTTTTGGAATGGCTGAGGAGGCCATGAAAGGCCAATCATGGACTTATCAAGAGCATCTATGTCTATCGAAACCGACAATAACGAAACCCCTTTTTAAAGTGTACTGCAAACAGTTTCCATTTGTTTGGGAGGTCTCTATACATGAAGCATCGAACTCCTCCACCCCTTGTGCTGTGTCTTTTTCTCGCTTTTTCTTGTCCCATCCCTTGGCCGCTTCGCTCAGAAAGAAGATGAATGCGCCAGCTGCAACGACGGATACTACCTGGACAAGGGTCAATGCAAAGCAGCTTCCTGCCCCTGGTGGACAGCTGGTGCGAATGCGCCTTGTTCCGCCTTGGTGGACAGTTGCACACTGGCTGCTGGCAGTTTGCGCGTGTCTGCAGCACATGTCCGTGGTCCCCTCCTACCAATTTTTGTGTTGTTCATGATGGCTTTCGACACCCGACGTGTCGGGCGTTGCTTTCGCGACGTGAGCACGACACGTTTGACTCCTTCGCGTTTCTTCGCCTTTTCGCTACACCATCGGACTCCAGGTGCCCAGCGGCTGCACCTGCTGGACGGGCTACTTTGGAAGTATCACAGCAACGTCCAGTCACCCGACCACAGATCTGACCGCGCGACTGCCTCCGCGCGTCGTCCGAGTGGGGGGGGGTGGATCACCGGGGGTGAGGGGTAAGTTCCCCGAAGTGGCAGTGAAGTACACTGGACCTGATCGATAACACCAAGTAAGACTCGATAGCGGAGTGTCGAAGTGTGCGAACGGCAGAGAGCACACTTTTCTATGGCGAGCGGTGCAGTATGTGCGGGCTCTAGTGGTCTTGGGCCAAAAGCAATGTGAATTAAGCTGTGAAGCTGACTGAAGAGTGTATATACAAGTAACTACGGACAACAGGTGCTACACACGTATAGCGTAGACACGCCTATAGGGGACCTAGGACACTACAAATTACAAACAGACACAAATTTTCGTGTCGGAGCTGACGGCTGCAAAAATACAAAATGAAAGGCATATGAGTTACAAAAGTTCTGGTTTCGCAGAACTAGGCCGTAGATGCCATTCTGGCTACAAAATTGCGCTCGGATTAGAGTGCCTTGAAATCTATGTACGCGTCACGAAATGCTCAGAGATAACCATAATGTCGGAAATCTTGCCTTAGTCTCTTTCTTCTAAGGCATCAAAATTCATCGTTCTTTTGAGATCTAATTGCAAAATGCTGAAATGGAGTCTTCTAAATGCATTCAATTCTAATCAAGTCTAATCGAATGCACTGCTTTATGCTGAAAGAATTCCGGAATGTCGGAATCTTCTGGAATGCTGGAAATGCCGGAATATCGACACCTGGACATCTTGTTCACCACCATCTACACTGGTGGGAACGCCAATATCCAGATCCATGTCATGAGGACGATGCGGAGGACTGCCACCAGTCTTGCCTACGTGCCTCGGTTCGTTTTTTGTCCTTCTGTCTTCGAAGTTTCTGGGACGCATCACTTCGGACTCGAACGTTTGATCTGGATGCGAGTTGGAAATTTCACTGAAATGGGTGATGAAAATCGTGGTCGCTGCAACGGTTCAGATGCTTGAGGTATTCATTCACCCTTATGATGGTTTCCTTTTGACGCCAATTTGACGCGGGGGTTCTTCGTAAGATGACCGCCCCATGTCTTCCGGAATGTCGGAAGTCCTCTTCACTGGCGTGTGCGTATCTTTGCCATAAGGCAGTCTGCGTCGGCGTCTTGTCCGGCTAGGGCGGCAAGTTGCTCAGTGGCCAGCGTCGAGACTTCGAAATTATAGGTAATACGCTGGTGCGCTTCGCGGTCTGTTAGCAGAGACCAGGATCTGGTCGAGAATGGTGAGGACTGCGCCTGTGTCTGCGTCGGAATGTCGATCCGACTTACACTGCCTGTTAGTGAAGAGGTTGGCGTCGCATACTGTCCACTTGGTCCGCAACTGCAGACACCAGAACCTTAGTGAGGGCGGACTTCCCTGCTGTTTTGCAGTCTTGGAAGGCGTCTGAGCTAAGATGGAACGCACAAACCCTCAGCACTGGGAGATGGCATCGTTTGCAATCTGACAACTTACCGGTCCGGAATGTCGGACTCTCGTTGTACAGGCATTCGGCGTCGACAGGGTCGGCCTGCAAAAATCTGGTAGATGCCTGGCAAGCGCCTAATGTATCTGGGCAAACCATGACTGCCATGTGTTCTGCAGTATCCTCCCCGCTTTCAAGAGCCTTGGCGAGTGTGGTGCGGACTCCGGCTTTTGTAGTTACGCCTCCATGTGTACTTCAGCGATCTCGCCCCAGATGACTCTAAAAGTCGCCGCATGCATAAGCCAGTTAACGCGTTCGGAATCAAGTTGGATATGGCGCAAGAGCTCAAATCTGGACGTAATGTCGTCCGATGAGCGTACACATGCGATTGGGCGTGCGTGCCCGTCCGGCATAGCAACGAGACACATTTTTTTATATTGGGCGAAAAGATCGGGATGCCTCTCGAGCCCACCTGCCTCCAGCAGGATCGTGCAATGGGCCGTGTTGCGGACAAGGTAATGCAGAATGACGCAGTACAGGTCCGATTCCTTGAGAGTCTTAGGCAAACGCTGCTTCCCGTTAAAATGGGGAGGACGATTGATGCTTCCCATGTTCATCAGGAGTACGGAAACATGTTCAGTTGATCGCAGCAATTTACCGTCCTCCAGGTTGGCTTCGGCCCAGTTCGACGATCTGACGCATCTCCTCGCCGGAATATCGGCGGTCGCGATCGTAAAAGCAGCAATTGTCTTTCTAGCGTTTGTGTGGCTGCTTCTTGAGTGGTCTCTTCAACTGATGGAACACAAGAAAAGGAGCTAAGCAAAGCTAAGAAAGTACTTCTTAGAGTACTGGAGCTCCTGCAGAAATTGAAAACACTTAACTCACATCCCAACTTAACTAACCAACAAACCAAACAATCCCAAAAACCATATACAACCAACCAAACAACCCACCAACCAACCAAAACACCAACCAACCAACCAGCTATGTCAGCTTATGTTCAACCCCTTGCAAAGATAAAGACTTTGGGCTTGGAATAGCTAAGCTTTTCTTAGCTTGGATTAGTTATACTTAATTCCTTGTAGCTTCCCAAAGCTTTTGATAGCTGTAGTACTTTACCTACAACATTGAAGCGAACACTTAGGAAGCGGTACTTCAAATGCTGTAATGAAATTGGCCTGTTGATGGGATAAGGCGCAACATCGCTCTGATGACTCCAATGCTCAATTTCCTTCATTTGCCTCAACCGTCGGCGACGGGCAGCCATGCAATCGAGAGGTGTCCAACCCTCTGACTCGGGGGCAAACGGAGTTGCAACATCAATCTCCGCAGTTATGTCCTCCCGTTCAGTCTCACCCAGTGGCGCCGGAATGTCGGCGTCTGGAGTCGTTGAGTCAAGGAACAATAGCTGATTGCGTTCGCATTGATTTTTCTTAAGATGAAAGCAGTCCAGGCAGGTCCCATGGCCACAAGCGCGGCAGAAGAAAAGGACTTCTTCGCGTTTGCGCTAGGCGCAAGGCATGGTCTCGGGTCGCCGCTTATAGACAAGACATCAGCGGCGTCCTGCGTGACCTCACGTGCGCGAGAAGTGGCGTGCCTTTTGGCTGTTGTTGGCTCGAAGTATCTGGTCTCCGGAACGTCGGAGAATGATATTCGGCGTCTGCCTGCTGAAGGAGATCGGCGGGGCTCAAGAAAACGGTCAGCCTTCTTAAGTACAACAGGCGTGGGAGTGCGCGCCCGGGCGCGAGATGCCCAAGTTCGAGAGCCAGCATCTTTTTCCTTCTTGACTGCTTCGGCTGATTTTGAGTTGTCTCCTGAAGAAGGTGCAGAAGAGCTGCCCGGAATGTCGGACTTATTCTCACCTTTCTTGACCGAGACTCCTTTCTGGCGTGCTTCCGCGAGATCACCCATCTAATGTGTCGATGACTTGCTGTTCCTCGTCATCAGCCGGAATGTCGGCGTCGACTTCCATGGCATCATCCGCCTCTTCTTCATCGTCAAGATCTTGCTCTGAGGCGGGAAAGGCTGGTTTCCTGGTCACGTCATTCTGGATTAGTGCTGAGGTAATTCGGCCAGGTTTCAGCTGCAACTCTATTCATGCCACGGAGCTGATGTCGGTCAAGTTGCTCTTGCATTTTCTGAACGCCACTTCTCGATCTCGCGGTAAAGCCAGCTTTTTGGTTTCTACGTTAAATTTATCATGGCCTTGCCGCGTTAGACCTGAGGACCTCGCAGTAGAACTGGCTGTAGAAGCGGAGGTAGCCCTCATCGTCAACACTCATGGCTGGCGTGGTGTTTGGAATGTCGAACACCTTGCGTATGACACGCCAGTGCTGTCGCGATCGTTCCAAGCGCGTGAAAATAGATCAGCCGGCGCGACTTCCTTGGTCAGGAAGGACCCGTTCTTACTCAAACTGAAACGGATGGACGGGTGCGACTCCAAAGCGGTCTTGGAGTACAAGAGCCACATTTAATTTGCGGTTGGTCGTATGTGTTTGTGCCGGAGGAGCAGTGCGTCGATGGGCAATGCGTCGATGGACAAAAGTGGCTCATATCACGTGACGATGCTCCTGGACAATTTCCTCCACCATGCTGAACGATGGACTTCAAATGACGAAATTCAGTCATGTGAACTAGACTGTCCGGAATGTCGGACATCTAGCGCAGTAAGGTTTTTTGAGCCGGAATGTCGGCTGTTCCAGAGTGGCCTGACACTGCCTGAACGAAGACCTGTGTTGCCTTGAAGTTCTCATACCTTGATTTACGCGTCCTTCGTTCTTCGGCAGATGTTGTGGCAGGGTGAACCCAGTCACCTGTTGCCAGTCTATTGGTCATTGGCCGAAAGAGGCGCGATCTGATAGCGACCCTTTTGATTATAGTTTATATGGTTATGGCGACCGGAAGAATCATGTTGATGGTCTCCTGTGAGTGTTCGCGCCATTTCGGAATCTGAGACCTCTGGATCCAGGGAAAATCCTGGTCCGTGCTTGCGCTGCAATCTACAAGTGCAGATTTGAAGTGGGCGCCGGCCACTAGTTCAATGATACTGAGCGATCCGTCGCTGTGGCGCCATCCGGAATGTCGGAGGGCCCACGAAAGCAAGCCGTTGAGCGTATCCAGAATAACTGGTTGGGCGATAAGATTGAAAAGCCGAGCCAAAAACAGAATAGAAAGCATGAACTCACTCCGAATGCAGAATCCATTGCGTTTGGCCTTGGGCGGTTCTCCTTGGTGCCGTGACCTTTACCTTTACCTTTGCCTTTGCCCTTGCCTTTACCGAATGTCGGTCGGCAGGTGCAGGCGACTCTTCGCTTGGTGCTTCTTGTGCTGGCGTTAATCTACGATTGAATCTTGTTGCACCCTGTTCAGGATCGGGTGCACCTTTACCTTTACTTGATGCCTCTCCTTTTGGGCGGAATGTTGGCCCTTTCGAAGCGGCTCGGCTCGGAGCTGCTCGACTCGGAGCTGCGTGGCTAGAAGCCGATGCTTCCGACTCAGGCGAACGAACAATTCGTGCGGTTTCAGTGAGCCTCCGTGCGCGCTTGGCGAACAGGGTGTCCTCCAATGGAGGTGAGTCGGAAATAGTCTGTCGCTGGAATGTCGGTCGGCTTCGCGTGCCTCAGATTCGGCAGCAGGAACGGCTGGCTGCTTATTTCCCATGGCCTTTGTATATGAAATGCTCAAGCTGATTTTTGAACACCTGCTACGATGGCAGGCTTTGATGCAGGAGTCTAGGAACGCTAGAGTGTGGAGGTGGCGCATGAGGCCCAAACACCATGCTCTTGAGGAGTTGGCCCTTTTCGCACGGAGAGTTCGTTTGAACCCGCGGCGCGCATTGGCTTTATGGATGAAAGCTTTTTAGGATCTGTGAAGCGCATCGCTATAGCATGCCACTCAGAAACTGTATTGTTGAGGGTTTTCCAGCGTCTTCTCCTTAGTTGGAGCCAACGCTGGATGGACAACAAACAACATGCGCAGCATGCCGGGGTGTCCTGAAAAAGGCAGCTGCCACGCCAGCCATGAGAGCAAACGCAGAGCAACCGCGACCTAACCCTGCATAAGGAATGTGTCCTTCTATTGAGGTTGAACTGTGTTTTTAATAATGTTTTTGGGGTTAGAAAGTAGTCTGGCTCAAGATCAACCCGGTGGAATGATGAAATTGGGTCGGTGTCAGCGCTCCTGTCAAAAACTATTGTGTGATGCCAAGGTGTCTTGGCTAAAGTGTTTGCTATCTGTGCGGCTTCTTTGGTGGCAGCGGAGCGGTCAGTGAGCGCAGCGAAACCTTTCAACGCTGCCTCAAAAAAAGGAAAAGAAACAAAAAGCGTTATCCAAATACATTTGTGCGCCTCGCTGCTTCACATAGCATGCAAGTGAAGTGGTTTGATACAGGTGACCCGAATGCAACCACTTTTTGGCCTGCCATGAAAAGTGATAACAGCAAAGCCGTATCTGCCAAAGATTGCATCCTCTTTGATGGCATGCCCTGGCATGTGTGAAAGACAAACGACAGCGCGAGTTGTCGCACTTGCGACAACTCGCGCTGTCGTGTGTCTATGTCCTTGAAAAGCAGACCAGAAGACACACCACTTACAAGCGTAAGACAATCAGATCGAAAAGTGACATGCCACCTACATAGAGCAGCAACGCGGCATAAACGCACGACATGGCGAGGTGTCGCGCTTGCGACAACTCGCGCTGTCGTGTGTCTATGTCCATGAAGCCATGCGTGGGGATCAGAGGATACACCATGACGAGCGTAAGGTAGTCAGACCATGAGGCTGCATGCAACCTATATGGCAGCAAAAAGCGGCATAAACGCGCAACGTCGCGAGGTGTCGCGCTTGCGACAACCCGCGCTGTCGTGTGTCTATGTCCATGAAACCATCATGGACTAGAATATGCGTCGCTGACATTCATGATGGTCTGATCTTGTGAGGTGGTTCGTGCTGACAGCGCCGATAACTATACATACACACGACAGCTGAGGTTACTCGCGAGAGCTTTTTGCTGGCAGCTGTTGTGTGTTGTCATAGTTGTCAAAGAATGTAAGAACAAACTGTATGTTTGGTAAGAGGATCAGCGAGACAGAATTCGCTCGCAACGTGACTTAAGTCGTCGATGCTACCGGTGTTACTCTCGTGTCTGAGCATTTGGATGAGGTAATGTGTTTCTTTCTGCTCTGGGAGACGTGTGGTTTGTGCAGCTGTGACTAAGTTCTTTTCATCAGTCCGGAGGTGAATAGGAAGAAACCTACCACTGACATCAGCCCAGAGAACATGAAGGAAGAGACAAGTACCAAAACATTTCATCAAAGCTTGAAGTTCAGCGACCGTGGTAGACTGTGTTGTAGTGGTAATCATCTTATGACTCTCATAGTCAATGATAGAACCACGTGTTGCTGAACTGTCCTTCTTCTCGGAATGTCGAGCGTTGTACGGATGTCTCTCTTCGGCTAAGTAAATGACATGTGCACTGTGCACGCTGACTGGACTTGTCGCTGTCGTTTCTGTACGATGCATCTGGGATGCCAATTACGCGTTGAAGATCATTGAGAGGCCAGAAACGGGCATCAATATACTGGCTTTTCACAGTGCGGACGACTTTGTTGATCTCACGAACATCACCGATGGTCGGACTCGTAGCTGCGGACGCACATCTTGAAAACTTATAGCATAGGTGAGCTTGCGTTCGACTCTGCGCCCACTTCAGCTGGCCTAGGACAGAGCGATAAGCAGTATGCGTGTGAGGGTTGCAAGCTAAATTGTCCTTTAGGTGCTTCTCACGCTTGATGTCTTCAACAGCATCACGCAACAGCAAGTGTTTGGTCACAAGAAATGTATGGTCCAAGCTTGTCGTGAGTCTTCCATCGAATGCCTTGACCGACAAACATGATGTCATTCTTATGCGTTTCCTGTCAGTGCATTCTTCAGTGAGGGACCAAGCTTCTCTGCGGAAAGTGTGGTAATGTTTACCCAGTCAGACAGTCATCAATCAAATCTTCAATCCCGAACCTAGATGATTGTCCATCAAAGGACGGGGGACTATTTGGCGTCGTTTTGACACCTGGTGCTGGTTAGGTTTCATAAGTCCAGAATGTCGAACCTGAGGATCTGGACTGCTGGGAACGATACCTCGGACCTTGTGCAGCGAAAGCTTCCTCTGGTTCCGACTCTTCCTGACTATACTCTGATTCGTTGTCCGTATCTATATCAAAGATCTGGACCATGGTCACTATACTCTTCAGACAAGAGATCTACTACTTGGTTGTCTCCTGTCCGTAACGTCGGACAAACCTGCGCAAAACAAATTTGGCCGATACCTAGCAAGAGACACAATCTTTTCTACCACTTTGAGGGGTAAGTTCCCCAAAGTGGCAGTGAAGTGTTAACTTTCTTATTTTAGCTGCGCATCATGTTTCCAAAAATACTCCCCACCCCTGAGGGTTAAATTGCTGTGCGTGGCAGGAACCGCTGGTTTCAAACACTTCTGTCAAAATGCATCCTTTTCGGAGGGTCGATAACTAGATTTGGAAAGATGTGATCTAGTTATGTTCTAGACACCAGAAACTGGCAGAGTGGCTGTAGTGGCTTCTGTGGACAATACAGTTGTGGTTCTCCAACCATCTTGGAGTGATCCAGGTCTCAGACATCTATTTGCAGCGTTCTACTACCTCTTTGAACTTTGAATGTATCCTAACCTAACCAAAGCAAACCAAAACCTCATACGACTTCAGTGTTTTCACAAATGTATTATGAACATTTTACCTATTTTATGAATTTTCACCGATTTTATGAAAATTCACCTATTGTATGTAAATTTCATCTATTTTATGACAACTCACCTATTTTATGTAAATTTCACCTAGCTTGTGAAACTTTCACATATTTTATGAAATTTTACCTATTTTATGAAATGTCACATTTTCTTTTTTAAGTTCACCTATTTTATGAACATTTCATCTGGTTTACATTATTTCACCTATTCTATGAAAATTCACCTATTCTTTTGACATTCAGCTACTTTCTAAAATTTCACCTATTTTATTGAAATTTAATCTATTGTATGCAAATTCACCTATTTTATGAATCTTCACCTACTTTATGGAATTTCACCTATTTTAAGAAAATTTCAACCGTTTTATACAATTTTCATAAAATAGATGAAAATTTCATAAAAATAGGTAAATTTCACGGTGAAGTCGGTGAACTTTTCAATTTCACCGATTATGAAAATTTCACGAGAATAAGTGCAATTGTTGGTGAAATTGGTGAGAAGTAAGTGCTTTGATATCTTTTCAACAAAACATGATGAAAACACATATTTTTCACCAGTTTCACGAACAAAAGCACTTATTCTGGTGACATTTACATAAAGTAGGTGAAATTTCAATAAAATAGGTGGAGTTGAACATTTTCATCGATTTCACCGTGAAAATTGATTTTTCACCTATTTTAGGACAGTTTCACATGAAAATTCACCTACTTTATGAAACATCACCTATTTTATGAATTTTCACCTATTTTCTGAAGATTTCACCTGTTTTTATGAAATGTCACCTATTTTATGAAATTTCACCTATTTTAGGGATTTTTACCTATTATATGAAAAATTTGACCTATTTTATGATCGTTTTTATATATTTATGATTTGTGTGTATATTTTGTAAAAGTTCATATCTACTGGTTACACGTGGTGAGCTGTACGAGATAACTTTCAGCCAGGGTTCATTCGGTGTTAATGTTAGGTGTTCAGGTCAATAATGTGGCGTATTCTTTTTGTTTAGTTGTACTGGTTGACGGGATAGGTTTGAGGTTAGTGTGTTTTTTCCCAGAAGTGCTTTTTGATCCACCTTCCCCACTTCCAAAGCACTTTTTTGACATATCATCAGTAAGCATGAAGATAAACACTTAATTGCTTCCGACAGCATGCAAATAAGAAAGTTAACACAGTGAAGTACTCTGGACCTGATCGATAACGCCAAGTAAGACTCGATAGCGGAGTGTCGAAGTGTGCGAACGGCAGAGAGCCCACTTTTCTATGGCGAGCGGTGCAGTATGTGCGGGCTCTAGTGGTTTTGAGCCAAAAGCAATGTGAATTAAGCTGTGAAGCTGACTGAAGAGTGTATATACAAGTAACTACGGACAACAGGTGCTACACACGTATAGCGTAGACACGCTAAGGGGACCTAGGACACTACAAATTACAGGGGGGCTATAGAGGGGGGGTTTGGCGTGGGGCTGTCCTGAAACGCTTGTGACCAGGGATGTAAAGGGATGTACGCATCATACTGAATCATACAGTATGACTCGATCATGTATTTCACTCTGGAGTTTGGAGTTGAAAAGAACTGTGACAAACAAACGCTCTCCTTTTGCACTGGCTGCAGGATGGGGTCCTTCTTTTTGGGAAGCCACTTGAAAGAGTTCCAACGGAGCATGGACCCCCTTGACTGGACCTCTGGCAGAGACGACCTGGACGAGTGACGAAACATGTTGGCCCATGGCCTGGACCAGGAGAAAGACTGTTTTGCCCGGCAACCGAGGCAAACCATACTACGAGGGAACTTGCAAGGACTGCAGCAGTACTTGTCGACGTCTCATGTCGAGACTGATGTCTCATGACGTCTCATGACGTCTCTGGTGTTTTTGCGTCCTTCCAAATAGCGGAATGCACTGGTGATGCTTTTGTGAGATGTTTCGAAAGAGTTCTAGCAACTGCTGCAGTCCGCTTTGGTGGGTGGCACCTTTGCCTTCCACAATGCGAAACACGACCGCTTCATCAAGTTCCTCTGGTTTCAAAGCAGGGGTGTTGATGTGTCAATCTAGACATGAAAGTTGTGAGAAGACTTATGAGGTCGGTTCAGGGCAAGATTCGATTGGTTTATATCATGATTTACAGTATTCATGTTGTTGGTGCCCTTGGCACTCAGGCTTGACAAGCACGACATGAAGCGCAGCCCTGGAAAGGCTGCTGACGCCCGACGAAAGCAACGTTTGCGGATTCTTCAACATGAAAAGCTGGCGTATTTACATTGCCAAACATGTAAGGACAAGCTGCCAGATGGATGGGGCGCCGAGCGCTTTGTGGTCAAGGAGGGTGGAGAAGGGCGCGTAGGATTCTACAGTCCAGGCCGGAAGCAGTAACTTGGTCAGCGGGTGAGAAGGATGCGGAGTTGGTTGTACACGCGAACTGGGTCGGTTGTACACGCGGATCCAGGGTCGGTTGTACACGCAGGAGCACGCAAGTAGAAGGGTAAAAGTACTGCAAACAAAGCAACAAGTGCCACGACTAAGTCCATGCACAGAACAAACATGAAGTGACGTGAACATCATTAGCGACACCCCGCCCCACCCCACCCCACTTCAACATTGGAATGTTAGTCGAAGTGAACCTCATTGGCTGTACCCCATCCCACCTCACCCCATCGCCACCCAGATCTGATCTCGGTGTCTACAGCTGACCCAGATCGCCATGTGTGTACAGCTGACCCTCCCCACCGGTGAGAATGAGGGTTGGGGTTCTTTCCTCCTTTCCCTTTGTCAGAGAGAAATTTGCTGCAGGAGTCTATGTATTCCCACTGTCTAGACTTTGCGTTAAGTGAAGCGTTCTCATTCTTCTCCTGATAAGAGAAATCGGAACAACTGAGCTCAGGTATTGGCAGATGCACAAGTCGGACCGGGCTGCCAAGACAGAAATCAGATTGCCAGCAAAAGACTTCCATTGGACACAGTTTGTGAAGGTTTGCTTGAATCATGGCGGATTGCAGGACATGAGCAAAGCTGGCCACATGGGGAGCTGGGAACTGTTCCGAGTGGTGGACGCTGGTGCTGGAGTTTTTGCCTTCCACAACTCCAAACACAACCGCTTCGTCCGCATGAACAAGAAAACAATGGACAGCCGAATGCTTGATCGCTTTTGGTCGTCATGTGTTGTGTCAAGATGTGTCAAGTTCCAAGTGGCCAGGGTAGGGGGTCAGGGGTCTACATCGATGTTGAAGCAAAAGAACAACACGATGTGGAGAGGACACGAGTGGCAAGAAGGGTGCAACAAGTTTGCCTGGTGGTTGGAGCTGGGAGCGCTTCAAGATTGTGCAGGCCGAAAGCTTGACGGGGGCGTTTGGGGGGGTCGGGATCGGCTGGTAGAGTGTCGTTCGAGGGCAGACCTGTTCAAATATGTTCAAACGAGTCTTGAAGTAGCCTTTTCATGTCTGTGTTTGCTTTACCTACCCAACTTAGTGCTGGATGATGCTGTCCTAGAAGTGTTGAAATTGAAGCAACGCGTAGAACACGCGATGGCAAAAGGAGGGTTTTGAAAAGAACATAATAACAATGCTTTGGATGCTTTTGGACAATCGTGCAAACAGTCAAAACCAAAGCTGTACTTAAACTGTATTTCCGCAAACAGCGTTGATGTGAGGGTCTCAATTCTTCCATAGAAACGATCCTGGGCCAAGGTGATTTCCAGATGCTGGGCTGAGATGATTCTGCTTTGTCCCCCTTTGGCTCCCTTTGTCCCTGTCTCCCATCTCTGTTCTGGATGTGTGAGGTCAAAAAGACATCTTTTTTACCGGGCTGAGATGATTCTGCTTTGTCCCCTGGGCTGAGATGATTGTACTTTGTCTCCGTTTGTCTCGCATGGTTCTTCTCCCCTTGTCTCCGTTTATCTCCCGTGGCTATTTTGGATGCTGGAGTAACATCATTCTGCTTTGTTTCTGGTTGCCTCCTTGGTTTTCTATGGCTCAAAGCTGGCAGCACAATACGTTCAAGATTCGCCGGCGAAAAGAAACACGTTGCGGCTGCTGTTTGGGGTCGACGCTGGTGTAATTGTTTCGTTTTTGTTGCATTTGGCTTGCATTTTGTGTGCTTTCAATTTCCCTTGCATCCCGGATTGCATTATACAGGCTGTTTTGGATTATTTCGGTGCAGGGTGAAGGGGATGTCAGCCCAGGTTTCAGGTGCCTTTGCTTACTTTCTTCAATCGCAGTGTTGTCGGAGAGAAAACGTGGAGTCAGCGACGCGTCAGCGACCAGACTCCTCGGATCGGCGACCAGTTAGGGCGAATCCGCGACCAGTCTCACGCCCAGTGGTCGCTGATTCAGTCAATTAACATAGTAGTTCCCCTGCAATGGCTCATCGAAAGAGCCATTCTCGGAAACCAACGATGTTTTTAAATTGTCACGAAAGCCAGCCGATAGGCTAGGCTGGAGTCTAGGGGAGCGAACGAAGTGAGTAAAGGGGGTGTGGGGGGGTGGTCGCCAGAGGGCCAATTTCGGAGGGCTGACCCAGAGCCTGGTGGGGGAGCGTTGTGATGCAAGTGATGTAATTGACGGCGAGTAGTGCATCAGGACGGGCTCAGGACCAGGGGTGGGAGTTCATGTTGAGGATAGGACAGACAGGGCAACGGGACACGAAAAGTGGTTAAGCTTCCTGCAGGCAAGGAGATGTGCGTGCGTGGTGGCCATTGAAATAGTGTTCGACCAGGGGTGAAAGGGAGGTGTGTGTCTCTGAAGACACTGCCTGATCTGTGAGGGCACAAGAGGGAACAGAATGCTGTGGGAAGGTGGAAGACAGGCATAGCGGAGGAGGATGTGGTAAGAAAAGAGGGTTTGCGGGGGTGCCCCTTTTTTTATAGTGAAGACGCCTGTCAACCGTACGCAATAGGGCGCCCCATTTAGGGCGCGAGTTCATGTAATGATGTGCAGATTACAGCGGGCAAGCTTTGAATTGTTTGGGGGCGCCTTTCTGTAACGGTGAAGGCCTGGTTGCCGGACTCAAAAGGGCACCCCATATGGTGTGGGAGTTCATGTGGATGAGACAGGCGCAGCGGAGCGGCGGAGGAGGAATTTTTTCTAGCAGGGGAAGGAGCCATACAGGGTGTGAGTTCATGTAGTGATGTGGTCCAGGGCAGAGAGAACAAGCTTTGAGTTGCTTGGGGGTGCCCTTTTTCACCTCCAAAGCGCCCCTTAACCAGGACGAAAAAGGGCTTCCCCCCAAACCTATGTATTATAGTTTTATTTCTACCCCTTATCGGGGTGGCTGCGATGTCAACTTCACCCCATACAGGTACTCTTTGCCCGATGTTAGCCAATCACTTGATCTTGCACGCCAAGTCTTTGAGTCCATCTACAGGACCCAGGACATGAATAACAAACAGCGGGCAAGCGATTCTGAGTTGCTTGTATTCTGCTTTCTATTTCCAACAGCAGTAGCATCACTGCTATGTCGACATCCCCCCATAACAACGACAATCTCTTCCCCGGTCCTCGCGTGATCTCAGCACTAACCTTTCCACGGTCCACTCTTAGCAGCGCACCGACTTTATGAATCTATTTGCAGCACAAGACAAAGCAACAGCACGCCAACGCCCCTCCGTTACTTGGGGGTGCCCCTTGAGCAACAACAGCAGGGGCGCCCCACTCCCCCACCTTTACTACGACTCTCCACCTCTGCCTTTTATTTCCCTATTCTTGGCACTGTTCCAGCGCGCTCTCGACTTCACCCCCATTGCCATATTGATGTCTTCTTACAGAGGCTGTGCTTTCGTCCCCTCCCTTCTCAGATATAGTGCTTTGAGTTTGCTAAAGGTTCTTGCGTTGGGGTATGATCGGGGGCGAGTGCTTCTTGGAATTTATTCCTTTTCATATAGATGCTCGCCGTGTTTCCGTGTTAGTCCCGGATCAGCGACCAGTGAGGGCGAACCAGCGACCAGTCAAAGTTCCCAGATCAGCGCGCAGTTGGGGCGAATCAGCGACCAGTCTCATTCCCAGTGGTATTTGGTATATAGATGAAATTTGTTACAGTAATCAAAACCAAATAAGTATTGCGCCTGCCACGAAAGCTGCGCGTGAATGTCACTGCAATTGTCCCATCGAAAGAGTGTGCCGTCTGCAGAGGCTGGCGCAGGTGGAAGGTTGAGGTTAACAACAATTGCTTACATGGTTTAACGTGGCGGCATATTTTTTCAAGTTGCAAGAACTCAGGCGTCAATATGATGATACTAGAGGGCACACGCAGGGTCACCTAGCAAAGTGTCCTTGTCACACCTGTCCGCGGCTGCAAAAAAACTCATAAGTGCAGTTGTTAGGTGACCCGGAAAAGGAGAGCGTCCGCGTCCTTGTGTTCACGCCTCTTCGAAGCGTCAAAAAGATGATACTAGAGGGCACACGTAGGGAAGGCTGCCCAGAAAGAGGTTTCAAAGCTTACAAGGGGGAATGTCCTTTTCACACCCGTTCAAAAATTCAACAAATTCCTCAAAACTACCCTTTTTACACCTTTTCGAAGGCGTCAACAACACATCCAAGGGGGAGCAGACAGAGTCAGGAAACCTACGGCAGAGTCAGCACACTGTGAGTCAGGTGATCGAGGGGGCAACAAAAATAAGAAAGTGCAAGAATGTAAAGAAATACATATGATTTTCTTGGGTGTATAAATGAGATGGTTTGAATCTCTCTCTTTACGCTTTTTGGGCTTGGCTTAGAGCTTGATTTGTTTAGGGTTTGTTTGGGCTTGATTTAGGGTTTGTTTGGGCTTGGTTTCAGGCTTGACTTCTCGAGGATCTATTTTTGGGTTTTTAGGGGGCTTTAGTTCTTTAGTTTGTTTGGCTTGGCTTAGGACTTGATTTCTTTAGGTTTTGTTTGGGGGCTTGGTTTGGGGCTTTACTTCTTTTGGGCTTGGGTTTGAGGTTTCATTTCCTTTGGGTTTGTTTCGGGCTTCGTTTATGGCTTGGCTTCTTTCAGGTGTGTTTGGGCTTGGTTTCAGGCTTGACTTCTTTAGGGTTATCTCATCGGACGCGAGTGCCCTTCGCATCGTCCACAGAGAAATTCAGTCCCAACCGTCTCCCTTCCGTCCGACCGTCTCCCTTCCTGCCGGTCTCTGACGTCTCGGGTCTCCGAGCCCGCACGACTGGTCTCCAGTCGACTGCCGCCCGTGGTGGGAGTTGTTTTGCAATCACGCTTGTTTGCAATCTTCGAGAATACTTGGTTTGGGGCATCTGACTCATGGTATGAACTGATATGATATGACCTACTTCTTGGGTACCCATGAACCACCTCAAGTCCATGCGTCGTGCCAGGCTGTGCCGGGATTCCGTCCCGGAACGATCATCGGGCTGTTTAACCACGACCGTGGCTTGGATCAGATCTGCCGATTTCCACAGACGATCCTTTTCAGTTCTTTCGAAGATCAAGTCTATGCTCCCCGAAAATGATAGCCTTTCCTGAATATCAATGTTTGGTTGGGCGAATGCTTGACTACTGCGCGATCTGAAGAACTTGATTGAAGGCTATGTGAAGATGACAAACTCGTGGACATTGAGCGGCGGCTCGAGCACAGCAGACAATCTCCCAGAAGATGGACAGTATCAGGCCCTTCACCCCTTCTGATCTGACAGCCTTTTGCTGACAGTAACTGTCAACTGTGGTATGGTCGTCCTTTTGTTCCGCTTTTGTTCTGCAATTGATGCTGTCAGCTGCAGGTGGTGGATGCTGGCATGGGCCAAATCGCCCTGTACAACCCCGCAATGAAGAGCTATATCCAGTTGTCGAGCAAGTGGGTCTTCCCGCCTTGCTTAGAGCAGCCCACATGTCATCTGCTTGGCAGTGTAGAGCGTCACGTCTTGGAAGACTTGACGTTCGAGTTGCACGACATGAACTGCTCGGCTTGCCAGGAAATCGGACGAAGAACTGATCTCACTGACGAGGCAGTGCTGCGGACGAAGCCGTTAACACTTCACCAATCTTTCTCTGGGAAAAACGAACACCATTCACATGATGACGCACCTTTAGAGTGGAATATCAAAATGAGTTCCAGGTTTCAGAAACCACCCAGCGAAAAAGAGCTTAGCTTGTCTTTTGAAGCCGTATGCTGAAGGCCACAGGCCACAGTGCTGTCCAAAGCCCTTTCGATTCTCTCACGAGTGTCAGGTTTTCGGAAATTGCCCTCCATACGAATGCGAACAGAAGCATGTTTTCAGACGTCACGACAAGAACATATCTATGCAGCTCCACTCCACCCTTCACCCGTGAGGGCAGACCCCAAACCATCCATGCCGCGCGACGCACGGGCCGAACGATGCGCTGAACTGCGGTCGGACGAGGCCCGCTTTACCATCGTGGACCTTGGCAGTGGTAAGATCGGGTTGCACAACGCCAAACGGAATCGCTACTTGACCCGAGTTTGCTTAGTTCGTTCCTTTGTTCCCTTTCTGTGCTTCAAAACTCGTGGAGTTGCGTATGATAACGTTCTCGAGCTGAAGGACCTCAACAGGTATTTAAGCCCATCAAGTCATTTGATTTGAGGCTTCTTTGGCTTCTTCAAGAATGGAAAGGTTGGCCGCAGCCCGGTGAAGGACGTGGGTGACACGAGTGCCATGATTGAGCGTGCTGTGCTGGGTGTTGTAAGTGGGGTTTACTCCAATGATTTGGATCATGTAGCAAGGCGGAGGTTTGTGGTGTCATTTGGTCGTGACTTTAGCAGAGCCGGTCGGGTCTTTGTTTTGTTTCCAGAGCACGTTCTTTTGGCATTGATGACTCGTGTCCATCTGCCCGTCCTACACATGTTCAGGACGGTGATGAGATGCCCAGCAACTGGGATGCAGAAAGGCTCACGGCACTCCAGGCAGGGACACGCAGCTTGCCAGGACATTGCATATCCAGTGTATTTTCAACTTGAGGGCTGTCCAGAGTTTAGACAATTCGAGGGCCCCCTGCAACCCGATGCTGTCAGATCATCAAGTGCAGCACTGGCGGCGGGTCAAAGTGCAAGACTTGCCTGGCGATGAAAGACCGCAAGGCGCGTAGAAACGTGCCCGGTCCAACAAACCGTCCGAGGTCAAACAAACCTCAACTAACCAGGCCAGAAGCTTTCCTGGTTAGAAAGAAGCAGCTGTCAACCGAAAAGAAGGACCCCAAAGAACCGGCATGTTTTCACATGCTGTAACTGGCGGTGACCCATTGAAGCATTTCAACTTGTTCAGCGGACAGACCCATTCGAGGAGCAGGAAAAACAAACTCTCTGCGGTGTTTCGCCTTGCAAATTCTTCAAAAGCGATGCTCGCCGCTTTGCTTGCCAGCAAATGGTATGTGAAAATCTGTTTGCAGGTGCTTGCAAATGAAGTATTGGGAGTCTGTCCCTGACTAATAAACAACAGTAAGTCTATCAAGCTTGGCTGCGATGTTCACGAAAGCTGGCACCAGCTAGCTGGAGTTGTTCTTGCTTTAGCAAGTGAGGGCTGGAATCCTCGAGAGCGCCGCATCGCGCGAACATTTCATTTGTACGGCCTCTGGGACATGTGTATTTCCGCCGGCATAGTGGGCACTGTCACCCGCTTCACCCCCGCCCTGCTAGCTTTCGTGACCAACCCTCGGCATCAAGTCTCAGGGTGTAGTAGATGCCCTTGACACCAACCTGGCTTTGTGTTTGTTAATTTCCTTTGTAGCTGTAATGTGGCAAGCTCAAATGTGCCATTTCCCGTGCTACTTTTCGTTTCGTTAAACCACGGCCGTGAACATCTGGTGTACCCCCCTCCTCTCGTTGGGACATGATGGCCGTCTCAAGATCGCCTCCAACAGCTTCCAACAGATCGAGCACGTCGAATGGATAACCTCAATCGGCATCGATCTTCCATTCGGCATCGATCGGTTCGTCCGGGTTTGCACAAAAAGAACCCACGGAGTGAGTGCCTGGTGCCCCGCTTCGCTCAGAAAGAAGATGAATGCGCCAGCTGCAACGATGGATACTACCTGGACAAGGGTCAATGCAAAGCAGCTTCCTGCCCTTGGTGGGCAGATGGTAAGAATGTGCCTTGTCCCTTCCATAGAGAATAATGCAAGAGATTTCCAGAAGGAGCAAGGACGCTACTAGGGGCTCCTGCATCGCTACTAGTTATAGGATTGGAGAATCGGTGTTGGCGGTTGGACACTCCATCACCAAATAGGCCAAATCATCCTTTAAGTTGCGAGCCTGGGCCTTCCAGGAGGTGTTCGTTCACCAAGCGAGCTGGGCCTTCTCAGGTCCCCAGTGGCTGCACTTGCTGGAACGGCTACTTTGGCGACTTGAAGGCGACCTCCAGCAGCCTGGAGATGACAGACTGGCAACAGCAATGGAGTGCACCCACCAACTCACATCTAGGGCGACCCGAAAGGACAGGGGCTCCTGGCATCGCTACTAGGAGCAAGGACGCTACTAGGGGCTCCTGGCCTTACTACTAGGAACAAGAAGCTACTAGAGTTACTAGAGGCTTGGCCTTACTACTAGGAGCAAGGACGCTACTAGTGGCCTTACTACTAGGGGCTCCTGGCCTTACTACTAGGACCAGTTACTAGGAACAAGAAGCTACTAGGGGTCCTGGCATCGCTACTAGGAGCACGGACGCTACTAGGGGCTCCTGGC